GGCTTTACCCCGAGGGAAATATCATCACTGAGGGTAATATTTCGCAGACCCCCCCCTAGCGGAGGGTCTATAAATAATATATTATACCAAAAATTAAAACCCTCCAATTTGAGAATTAAAAACTTGACACATAACTTCGTGAATACGATGTTTTATTTTCGGATTAACGCAAGTATCGTCGCTTTTCTTTCGAAAATCGTTTGGAATATTAATAACAACATTTTTCAAAATTTGCTGCAAAATTTTGGAAAAGCCCTAGGTTTCACGTTTAAAATTTGATTATTCATCACCCATCAATACTATTAATATTTTGGCGGCCATGTTGTTGTCATGCGTGTTGTCTTGCGTGGTCTACCCGAATGATGTTCCACTCCATGTTCCCCAGGGAACAAGGGGTGGAACATTGTCAACAGGACCGCGGGCTCGCTAATTGATGACGTAAAACGCGATATCGCGATTAATTTCATGCTCACGTGGCACAAACTAAGCTTCCTGATTGGCCAGTTTGAATTTGAGGTATAATATATTGTTAAAAACTTAAACGTTAATTGTTGTAAAAAGTTGAACCTCCCTAAAATGATTTAAAATTTAGGAAAATGTTTTGGAAGAAACCTGTACTATCTATAAGTTTGAAAAAGCTATCTCTTCATATATATTTATCTCCTTCCAAATACATTTTGTTCATTGCTAGTGAACTGAAGTATAATATTGAGTACAGAAGTCAGTTTTATAAATGTCAGGAATTGACATTTATAAATTACAATTAATATTGTAATTCTATAGTTAGAGAGACTGTAGATGTCTTATGTTTCGGTGATTTGACACTCAGTAATTTGCACAGTTCAATAAGATTTGCTATGTTAAAGATTACTGTAAAATTATAGCACGTTGACTTCTTCTAAGATACCCTTATGGCTGCATGGCTTTATTTGGTATGTAGTAATGTAGTGTCTACTAATTAGCTACCGTTGTATCATTCTTACATCAAATCAGATATTTTATCAATATCAAATATCTATACGAACAAATAGTGACTTATAATTTTTTGTGTTTAATTGAATGGCCGGAATTGCGTGGGATTAAAATAAACAAATTGTTAAAAGGCGTCGCTATAGATAAGCGGAATTCTTGTGCAAACACGGTATGTGAATATAAAACTTTTTTCCTATCGAGTGGGTTGAAAGAAAGCCACAGAAATTTTTAAACAAGAGTACTGTTCGGTAATGTGATCATAATTGTTCTAAAATCGGATTTAGCCATTTTTATTTCCTTACATTATTTCATATTTTTATGTCAGTTTACATCTACATTTTTTTCCCTTTTATTAATTTAATTTACATTTACATTTTAAACACACAACGCGACGTCCATCGCGTCTAGTTATGTCCCTGAGTAGAAATTCGAAAACACCACCAAAATATTCCGGTCGGAAAGATAAAATAGTACTCGAATAATGCAAAATAGCCATAAAATATAAACTAGCCATACACGAACAATGTAAACTATAGCTTTACCATATCTACGTACGATATACGTACTCGAACAATGTAAACGTACTATTCATACATATGTCGCCGAATGTAACTTCGACTCCTTTCAACCTATCTTTTTCGTAATAGCCTTGTTCGAATTACAATCCAAGACACTATTAAGAGTGTTATTTTCAAGCTTGTACATCTACAGATGTATTTGCATCTTTTATTTCGATATTTCAGAATATCTAAATATTTAGCGAGAGATTCGACCGCAAATACAAATTGGATTAACGATTAGTTGCCAGTAATCGTCCCTCATCTTTATGCATAACCACTTATATTGATGTTCAATTAATTAACAGTTCAATTAATTAACATTAATTGTCAATTAATTAATATTTAACAGACATGAAAAATTAACCCTAACCTCATTAATTAACAAACATCCCAATAGTCATTAGTATGAAAAAGCAAACGCGCCTTTTCATTTCAATTTATTCAATCGAATGAAACCGTTTTATTGTCTCGGTAGCTATGATATTACAAAGTGATAGCACGGCACTACGGTCGATTGGTGATGAAGTGTCCCTCAATCCTCGAGAGGTTTAGTAAACGTCCCTTGGCGCTGCTCGCTTCGGGGTTTTTACTAAACCTCTCTCGGATTTCGGGTACATTAAATCACTAATCGCCCAGAATGCCATATGCTAGCTATTAGCTATTTATATAAATATCGGCCGCTGAAGGTTGTATGTAATTGGTTATTTGATCAGTTAAGAGTGATTTGTTCGGTTTGGTGTGCATTAAAAAGGAAATTTGTCGTTTTCAAAGCAAATTTATATATTTACCCTCCACCTAATTAATTAAAGGGTAAATATATAAATTTGCTTTGAAAACGACAATTTTTTTTAATGCACACTAAACCGAAACAAACCAATTTAACTCACCAAATAACCAATTCCATAGAAACTGCAGCGACCGATGTTTTTATAAATAATAGCATGGCATTCAGGGCAATTATACGTGATTTAACGTACCCGAAAGCCGAGAGAGGTTTAGTAAAAGCCCGGAGGCACACAGCGCCGAGGGACTTCCTCTAAACATCTCGAGGCTTGAGGGACATTTCATCACTAATCGACCGTAATGCCGCGCCATCACTTTGTACTATCATAGTCACCGAGACAATAAAATGGTTTTATTCGATCGAGTAAGTTTCGTTCCACCCCTCGTGTAACTACGTAATTTTCACATGAATAAATAGATAAAAACTTACTTTATCAGAATCCGTTGCTCCCCAAGCGAAACAGGTGCACAAATGGGAGACAAATCCCTCCAAAGTTTGATATTTTCGCGCTTCGAAATATTCGAACCGCCATTGTTTTGGTAGCAAATACGCATGCGCAACTCAGCCAAACTCGCACTGCGCACGCGCACAACCAACGCACATGCTTCGAAGTGGAAACACGCTCAGTTATGCAAATAAATCATGGCTGAAGATATTTATAAAACTCGAGTATCCTCATGTTTTATGCATTTTGATGGCGTTACGGAGCAACTTTGCAAAGTTACATGCCAAAGGCTTAAGAAATTTCTTGAGTGCAGGTCAAAATGGGCCAAACTTAAATGTCAACAAGGTGAAATAGCTAAGAAATCGTACGAGAACATCGACGACGGATCTGTCAATTCATACATGGATAAGAGCCCGGATCGCATTAACTTAGAACGGTACCATCATATGAAATGCTGGAAGAGATTTTGTGATGAAGAGAATATCCGTAGACAACACAGAAAGGAAGAAAAAGGAGAAGGAACTAGCTCTAAAACTGTAACTTCTACCGAAGAATCACACGTGGATGTGGAGCCAATAGAATCAAGGCAAAAAATTACACGTCAATCAGTCGCAGAAGCTATAAGTAAGGCCCTGCCTAAAAGAAACGCGCATGTACTCTCAGAGATATGTATTATTTGTGGAAGAGACGCCTCGTGGTTCTCACTAGACAAGGTATGGTCATTTTGATAGGTATAATACTAGCGCAATGCCAATGTGCACAACATTCTCCGGTTTGATTTAAAATATATTGCAATGTGATCAATGAAGTTTATTTAGGGTAATGTAGTTTAACATCCAACCTTGTTATTAGCAGATGTTTAGTTTAATAATTTTGTTTCACACCATGTAACTAAGAAGAGAAGAAGAACCTCACTCATGTTGGCAGAAACAATTGATGCTGGTCTTCTACGTACAGCTGCCGAGCAAGTCCGGGGGGAAAGACTGTGTAGCTCTGGAAGTCTGCTATCACAAAGTTTGCTACCGCAATTGTACAATACTTCTCAACAGAGAGACGAAGAAATCGGAGACTGATAGATCTACATCAGTGTACGAGAAGTCTTATGATGTATTCTGTAAGAAAGTAATCGAGACGGAGGTCATCGGAAATAAGCAAATAAAGTATATGAAAGATTTGCTGGAGAAATTTGTTATGATTGCTAAGGACACTGAGAATGTGGAGGCATCTAAATATAGAGCTTTTAAACTCAAGCAACGACTGATGAAAAGTTATCCCCAACTTGTGTTCTGTGTACCGAAAATGAGAAATGTTAGTGAGATTGTATATGTGGAAAATTTGGATTCTTCTGAATTGGTTGAGGAACATATGTCAATTAAGTCTGAAAACAACGATAAGGACTTTGATGAAGAGAGCTGTACCAGTGATGATGATGGGGAAATTCTAAAGTCAATGAGTTACAAATTCTATACAATGCTGCATTGATTCTTCGCGAAAAGGTGGAATAAATACCAAAACTGAATCTTCGTTGGCCACCATTGGCATCTGTTTTGACAATGGATAATGTGCGAAAAGTTGTTCAATGTGAACTTTTTAATGTATTGGCTTGAATTTGTGGATTCTCTTGAGAGCCAACTTTAAATGAGTATGTGCCAATCGAGGGCAAGAACAGTGCCAAACTAACATCAATCGCACAAGGTCTTGTGAATTGCACTTAGACAACTGACATGGCACTTAGACAACTGACAGGTTCAGCCTCAGTAATTTCTCTGTTGAGTGGCTTGGAACATTGCATGTCACACTCCTTTGTATTGTGCCATGAGACTAAATAAATAAATAAACTCCCAGCACCATCAAAAGACATTAATCCTTATTTTCTTGGAAAAAGAAAAACTGTTAATTTAAACGATGCCATGCAAAATATGGAAATTGAGGAAAAACATCATATATTACCTCAGATTGATGCTAAGAAGAACGACCTTGCATTCTGTCTATGTAGTTATCTTGGTAGGAGCAATGCAATTCCAAATTGGACATGATTTAACACCAGACTAGCTGTCAATAGAAACATACCCACTCAGTCAAAACTTGGGTATCTACCTGTAATTGATGCTTCCCCTACAGAACTGTCAACAGTAAACGAAATATTGAAATGGAGTGAGGAAATTGCCAACAAACTTAACTTAAAGTATATGTGCTTGGTTTTTGATGAGGCCATTTATGCCAAAATTCAGCAAATAAGATGGTAGGAAGAAAGATACCTCAGTCGATTGTTGTCCGACTTGGAGATTTCCACATGGCAATGGCATTCTGTGGAGCTATATCAAAACTCTTCAAAGATGCTGGATTACAGGTATAGTATTTTTGATATCTTTATTTTTTCCAAGTGGGTCTGACCAAAAAATAATGTTAGCCCTCTAAGTGGCAATGCAACCTGATGCGCCCTACTTTAGTATTTTACTCTGTCTAACGCCAGAAAATTTTACTTGTAAAGTGGAGAGTGCTGCCACTCAATGGGTTAAATTATCAAACATTTTTTAATAGGACATTCTCATTGGGTCTGAAGTTGTAGCAGCTGGACCATTAATGGAGTAATGCCTGGCAAGCATTACAACAGAAGTGTTAGGTCACACAAAGTTGTCTATGAGGCATTGGTCAGACTGTTGTTTCAGCAATATCTTGAGTCACTTACACCAGCTGAAAGGGATGAAACAGTTACTTTGGTTGGTGAGTTTCAAATTTAGATGTTTATTCATACATTGAGGAAGTTTCAAAACAATGCCAAATTACTTTGCCTTTTAATTTTTAATGTTTATGATTGATGTGATATACATATGAACAACAAGAGCGATTGTTTCACCAGGATATCCAAACACGAGAAAACAGTGACATTGTGTGAAAGCCAGAACGCCTAGAGCGAGTGTTTTTGTTAATTGTTTTCGAATGTTTGGATGTGATACGGGTGGGACACAAGCTTGAGTTGTTTATATGGCTTCTCAAATGAAATGAGACGTAACAGAATGTTTTCGCTTGCTGATTTGAATAAAATTCTTAACCAAGCATAACGTACTTAGTAATTCTATTCCAGTAATTTTGCATGCGTAATTAAGACGGGGGACGGGGGGGGGTGCAACCACCTCATCTGTTCTGCTAAACTCAATCTCTGCAAAAACGGACCAAAGAGAAAATCCTGAAAAAAACCCTGTAACATTGCTGAAATAGTAATTAGGTGCCTTCGAACTGTAATAAACATTTATTTTGCATTACAGAAAACTTAGCCGAGACATTCCCAAGTGAAGATTACCTACCACAAGTGATGTCAGAGAATTTTGGAAAACTGGAGATGGCTGTTGCTATGTTTTCTAAATCAGAGGCAGAGAAAAAAACAACATTTGCTGTCTGGCTTAATTACATTCAAATGATAGACGTTCTTTTAATGTTCTTACGAGCAACAAGAGAAAACGACTGGGATCTACATCTCTCAGCAGTTAGATCAATGCTACCATGGTTTTTCGCAACTGACAGAGTTCACTATGCTAGATATGGTGCAGCATACTGGTTGGAGATGCTATGTATTGAAACATCACATCCAGGTAAGACATACTGTATTTTAGATTGTTATCAAATGTGCTGCAGTAAAATGTAAACCCTCAATGTTTGGAGGAATTTTTTCCAATGTTTGAACGGGAGTTTTCTGACCAATTTTTTTAGGGGTGACCGATGATATTATAAAAAACTGGATATGTCAGCGTCAGAGAACACATGGGTTTTCGTCAACCGCATGTGGCCAGGTGATGGGACATAATCGTGATTCAAAAGTGAGAGGAGGGCTGGTTGGATTTACTCTGAATCAGGGTGCAGTGCACAGATGGATAATGTCACAGGCTGACCGTGGTGCCATAACAAGACAGTGTCTCACAATGGCAGATAATTCATCACATACCAGGTAACAAGTTTGTCCTAAAATGTAAAAATACTGAATTGCTGTACTTTGACATTTTGAACAATGCAAAGCTTCGCTTGCCCACCATTTTAAAAATATTGTATGTACAGTAGATTACATGATCCCATGTTTTTTTACATCAATACAGATTACAGACAATAGATTTGCTAAAGATACAGGTATACTATACAGTCAGCTAAGGATTTTCTGGCCCCTGGTAATCCAAGGAAACACTGGATTTTTATGTTATAACTGGTTGCTTATAGGTTTAATTTTCCATTGCAGATCACGTAAAGACATAGATGAGTCACAAATTAAGTACCATGAACATGAAGTGGCAAATGTGGAAGTTATCACGAACATGAGCAATCCTTATCCTAATCCGAAGCATGGTTAATATCGCCAGTGGAAAGGTGGCTCCTGCAAATGTTTCGAATGACATGATCTCGGCAAAAGATATAGGAGAACAGAAATGTAAGACCTTTATGTCAGAACAATTATTAACACGTGAACCAGATCTGTTTGCAACGCTTAAAGCAACAAAGCTGAACACATTCTCAACAATGGAAAGAAAAACTAAAGTAAGAAAAACTAAGACCATTAAAGGACAAATTGTTGAGTTGAAGAATGACCTTAAGTTTGTATCACGGTTGCTTGCAGTGGGCAAATCAAGAAACATTGACATGAAAGACGTTCTCACCTGTAGTTTTCGAAAATTCCCATCACCTATTGCAACTGTTGATGGAAAGCTTGTCAAAACACCAAAATCCAAGTTAATGCATGTTCTCGAGAGTCGTGTAGAAGATCCAGCAATCGAACATGTACCATCTAATAATGCTTTGATATTGGATGGATTGGCTCTTATTCAGATGATGAAACACATCCCTGATACCTTTGGGAAGTTGGTTGAGATCATACTCGGTAGAATTTTATCGTTGGCATCAAATTCAAAGTCAACAAGAGT